GTTTTATCCAGGACCTCTCTTTTATCTGCTGCACCTGTCTCTCTTTTCATTATACTTCAGGGATTTGTTTGTGGGGATTGTTTGTTTCATTAGAATTTTATTGTTTTTCATGGTTGCTTTTAAGTGTTAGTTGCCTTGATTGATGCACAGGCACTAGAAGAGCAGAACATAATCTTTCATATACTTAAAATAGGTACAGTATCAGATTAAATTGATCAAGTAGAGTTTGGGAGTTTGAGCTGGTGACCTTGACAGGGCTGAGTAAATAAGATCAAACTTTAGTACTATGCATGTATTGCCTTAACACACATGCCGGCACACACACACAGAGAGAATCTTCCTCTATTTCTTTTACTCACAAGAAAGCTTACAGAAACCTTAAGGTGTATCCCAGCAACCTGGTTTGTGGGAACAAAATCTCTGGCTCCCTCCAGAGGTGAAGTGATAGAACTGGCAGGAGCTTTCCATTGCAATGCAAATATTCACAAGCAAATGGGGAAAACCAAAGCTTTCTGTGCCTGATAGACTTCTAATGTTAACTTTGTGGCTACCAATATAAATTGTGACTATATGTATCTGCTTTCTCATGAAGCCATACTTAATTTGAGTATTGCATGCAGACACTAATATTGGTCATAGATGAGGGAATGATCTTTCATAGAGCTGCACATCTCAGTAGTGTTGAATCTGGAACTAACGGCCTGCCAGTTGTAGTAGATGGCCAAGGCACTCGCCCCCTTTCCCCAACTCCTGTGTTTCAGACTACATGTGATTATTCTTTAGGAACTTCTATGTACTATGCATATGAGATGCCATAGTGGTGTAGCAGTTAGAGTGACCTTCTCCAACTTACTGTTTTCCAGATGTGTTGGACACCCAACTCCTGGTATGGCTGGCTGAGGCATGCTGGGAGCTGGGAGCCTAACACATCTGGAGGGCCCAGCCTTGGGAAAGTTTGAGCTAGAATATGAGGCCAGAATTGTGGAGATCCATGTGTGACCCTCCACTCAGCCATAAAGATCACTGGGTGCCCTTGGACTAGTTGCACTGCCTTGCAACATAATCTGCCTCACAACTTTAGAGCCAGACCTTAAAGAAAAGGCGGTATATGATACACCAGTAACACTTCTTGATCATGGCTACAAGTGGATTAGTGCCACAATTCCTTTTGCTAACTGAAAACAGAGTTGTGTGTGCTTGTAAAACTTTTGAATGCTACTGTAACTTTGTGAACAGGGTAAAACAATTCAGTTAAGAATCTGAAGAGAGAGAAATGTGAATGATACTTATTTGAAATTGCGTGCGTGCACAAGCATGCATGCGTGGGGTTTTCTGGTGATGGATTTTATTCAGTAGTCTCCGGAAACACAATCATCACTTCACCTGGATTCACCCCCCTCCCCACCCCTACCAACATCTGCTTTTTGCATCTCAGCTTCTTTTTACTTCCCCAATGAATATGGGGGGAATGTACTGAAAGCACTTCGTGGGAAATAATTGAGGAACTAGCCATTGCTGGAGGTGAAGGACAGTGCTTGGTATCTTATGTTGTATTTTTCCATGCATCTTTTCTCAAATGCGCATTGAGAACAGAAAGGCAGCTGTGAACCTGACATAAAAGCAATTCCAGTGGTTTTCCTTGCATATTTTAATTCATGTGTGCTTTAGTGGACTCCCCCGCCCCTAGTTTCAACCTTATTCTCCCTGCCTCAGCACCTCCCACTTAAATAACTGATTTCATCATAATGGCATTAGAAGGTCCTATGATACATTACAATGTAATAGCTTTTAACTTCATTGTAGGCTGTCAGTGTCCTTTGAAAGACCTATTAAGGGTGATGAGAAGAGATGTGCAACCAATTTGTTCATTCCAGTGCATTCTGGTCCAAACAAAGATAATGTGATTCAGCCTTTCATAAAGAGGCTTGTTTTATGTTGTCTTTAAAGTTGCTTCCATTCCTCTGAAACACTGCTACAAGAGCATTTCTCACAGCTGAAACTTTCCAGGCTGTGATGCAAGAAAACATCAGGGCCTGGATTAATTTGCAGAATTTCCTCAGCAAGTTTCACATATCTGTAATTGTAATCTTGTTAGAATTTGGTGTGTGGTGCTGATGTCTTTGTTTGACAGAAGCCTTTGTATGTTGGACTACGTGGGGAGGTACTCTAAAACTGTTAGCATACTTTTCAGGCCTCACATCTGAAATTCAGCAACGTGGCTCTTTGAAATCAGGATATTATGAGGAATACCAAAGCCTTAAATAAATGCCTTATTGTATCCCTAGGGCAGCGGGGAAGAGAACAATGATACTTTTTTCTTTCTGTATTTCCTTGCCTTCTTCAGGAGTATATACCCTTGGTACCTCCAGATGTTTTGGGACTGCAGCTCCAGGAATCTCTGGGAAGGGCCTATGTGAGCTGTAGAGGGCACCAGGTTGTCTTTGGAACTTGCAATAAACAAATAGCACCCCATGCAAGTGGTGGCATTGGTAGGGAGAAAACAGAAATTGTCTTTCCTGAGGGTAATTTTAAGAAAGCTGATATTGCTGGTAGCAGCACTTGCAATGCTCTGCATACTGTTGCTGGAGACCCAAGACCTCCTCTTGCTCAAAATTTTAGATTTGGGTGGCTTCTGATAATTGAGTAAGCTAGCAACTCTGTCCTTCACTTACTGCAGCCTTCTGTCATGACACGTCAAGTACTCCCTGTCCTGAGATATGTAACTGGTGAATGGGAAATTTCTCTTCCATGTATGAATGCCTGGCTCATAGGAAAGGCTCCCTCCAGCACCTGTTATTTCTACCTTGAAGGAGAAAGTAGCTCTGGCACCTCCAGCTCAGATCAAAACATGTGGATAGGATGGCCACTTACAGATTGCCAAAAGTGGATGTGCATCATCAACTAAGAATGAAAAGATGACACCAATTTGAATAAAATTCGTGTAGGCAAATTTTTATATATAGTTGCAAATGTAAAAATAAGAACTATAACTGAAGCAGAAATACGGTGCATCTCGCCATAGTGGGGAAGGGGACCAGTGTGTCTCCTGTGCTTGCTGCCAAGCACTAATTGTGGATGGCCACTTCAGTGCTACTGCTCTTCCCTGTTTATAGTTCTTTTACTTTTAATTAGATTGGATTGGGTAACCCATCAAATGCAAGACAACCTCAAACAGAGGACTGTCCTCTGCTAACTCTCCAAAACAGAGAACTCTGCTTTAAAGTAGGATACCGCACCATCTTACTCGTAGCACTTGCCGTAGCTCCTCTCCATTCAATAGCAGCTGCTTCACTTGTGACCCAGCTGAGCTCCACTTTCCATGTGCATCATTCTGTACAGAGCTGCTGTTCTCCTCCTCAGCAGCGCCTTGTGTGCATCTTGTTTTGGGGAGCGGGTAAAGCTGCATGTTTTAGTTTCCCTACGGGAAGGATGCAAAAATGTTTTCGTTTGGCTGTGGATTCATACAGGGGCCGTATCCATGCAAGGTGTTTGTGTTCAGCATGTTCTAGATGGGGTCATGCTCCCTCGAAAAGATCAAGTTTTCAGCCTGGGGCGCTCCTAGGATCAGTAGTGGCCCGGGTGACCTCAGTGGTGCCGAGCACTTTTCACAGGCATAGGCTGGTGCACTGATGGCAGCCCCCTGAAGAGAAACAGCCTTGCCAGAGATATCTATATTTCGGGAGTCACTTATCTGAACTGCTGAAATGAATTATGTGTGAAGCTGCTTTCAAAGGCAATCTGGAAACTGCAGTTAATACAGAGTACTAACTGGGATCTGACTGGCCAGGAGCACAGATTACTAATGTTGAGAGAACTCCACTGGCTATCAGTACATATCAGAGCTCAGCTCCAAGTCTGGTGCTTGCCTAGAAAACCTTGGGGGCGGGTAACACAAAGAATGTCTCCTTTCACACCTATCCTCTAGTGGACTGAGGGCAAATTGGGTGTTTCTAGCACCCTACTAGGTGGGCTACAACTAGGCAGAGAACCCCTTTGGTGCCCTATCTTTGGAACATTCTTACTAGAAAGTTTGCCTGTTAATCTTTTTGGCCCCAGGCAAAGAGACCTTTTCATTCTCCCAGACTTCAATAATCATTTCCTCTATTTGTTTATGCTACTTTTAATTGCTGTTGTATTTATTTGCAGTTTTAAACTACCCTTAAAACTGATGTTGGATGTGCCATAGAAATGTTTTAAAAATAAACAATTAAATTATGATTTCTCAACTTCACAAAGAGGGTCCTGGTTCAGACGATCAAAGCATGGGTTTTTTGTGAACTCATGGGAACAAGTGAGTGTGCTGGTTTCCAGCCACTCACCCACTTCTGCTTTGCTAAACAATTCTAGGAATTTCCATTCCTGTGTTGTTTACAGTAATGTATGAACTCAGATGTTTAAATAATAGTTTGTTGTTGAGTTAAAACTCTGGGTTCAATTCTCCTTTAATCACCCAGAGTTCCAGGTATCAACATCACAGCAAACAACCCCAAACAAGGATTGTTGAGCAAACTTGAAGCAGATAAATGGGATACAGCACACATGCTTGCTTCCAACCACTGGCAAACAAACCATGGGTTGTTTGATCATCTGAATAGGGTCAGTCATTCCATCCTAGCCATGCATATTTGTGGCAGTGATTGATATAGGATGATGTAGATGATGTGACCCTACTGTGCAAGGCAGTAGATTCACATCATAAATAGCACTTTACACCTTTACTTGCCCCAGTGCTGTAGCCTCCACGTAGAGCCACTGTTAGATAGAAGTGTTCTGTGCTGTTCTCCAAGTGTATGCTGTGCCCATTAGATTGGGATAGAGAAATGTTATAAAGTTATGTCAATTTAGAACCCTGTAGTTGACTAAGACAGATGAAGAATTCCAATAAATGTATATTTCTGTTATGAATGTGGACTTGCTGAAATGGAAGTAAGATTTTTCAGGCAGATGGCCTGAAGACCTCTTCTGTGCACTGCTAATATAATTTTTTGTTTCTTGTACAGGTATTATATTGGCCGTCGAATGTACTTGGTGGTATCAGAGCCAGAAATGATTAAACGTATCTTAGAGGATGACTTCCACAACTTTAGCAATAGAATGGTAAGTAAATCAATATTTGTTGTTCTCCATGAGGCAACAGTAAGAAAATGTTCTTTCTGCCATTTGTAATGTTTTGCAATTTTCAGAGTAAGTGGCACACTGTTCCAGAGAGATGTAAGCACCACTGGCATTGCCCTTTGGAGTGCGCGAAGCTGGTACTTTGCAATGGCTAAAACTAGCCAGAGCAGTGAGTTGAGGGATCTTTTGTTCAAATTTTCCTCAACCACACTGGCTCTTCCAGACATTCAGTTGCATGAATTTCCTGAATGACTTTTAGAAGTAAATAGCAGACACAGGAGTGATGGTAGCTGAGCCTCATTAGGAGATTGGTGTGTGTGTCAGAAGGAGATCAACCCTGACTGCTCTTTAGAAGGCCAGATAGTGAAGATGAAACTCAAATACTTTGGCCACCTAATTAGAAGGAAGAACTCACTGGAGAAGACCCTGATGCTGGGAACAATTGATGGCAAAAGGAGAAGGGGACGGCAGAGGTTGAGGTGGCTAGATGCAGTCACTGGGGCAGTGGGTGAGAGCTTGGGTGGACTCCAAATGATGGTGAAGGATAGGAGAGCCTGGGGGAATGTTTTCCATGGGGTCATAATGGGTCGGACATGACTTCTGACTAAATCAAAAGTGGTTGCCAGAGGGAGGGCAGTAGAAGAACTTTAATCTCTTTCCCTTCCCTCCATGGCTGCAGTCCAGACTGCACTCCTGACCCTGCTATATATATAGGGGAATAACTTTTTTTGCAGAGATAGAAACTTTCCTACTCTCAACTGTTAGTCAATGCAACAGGCAGGTTTTGGGGAATAAAAACAGCCTGGGTGAAGATCCCAGTGGAGAGCTGCAAGGGGTTGAAGGGTCCCAACCTGCATCTACACACCCTCCACACATGCAGTTCAATTATTTAAAAGCCATTCACACAGTTGCTGACTGAGTGCCATTTCATCTACTTTGGCCCTCAAGCAAGGCACTATTTTTCGACTTTGTTCCCATCTCCATCGTGCAGAGAATAAGAATGGATCTATTTCACAGGGGCTGCTGTAATAAAGATCATTTGAATAATGTATGTGGAACATTTTGACCATTCAAAATGTGACCTACAAAAGCTAAAGCACGATACTAATGCCCTGGTCTTTCTAATCAATACTCTTCCAACAGGTTGCACAATCAGTGCAGGCGATTTTGAGGGGCAGCCCTTGTTTGATCCCATCCATTTGCTTCCCGCACATGCAATACAAGTGCCTGTCCTGCCATTTTTCTTAATCTTGCTGTAAGATTGCCAACTTCTCTGGGTGTGCTAGCGCAGGAAGCACATGGTGTACCTTGGAGTCAATGGCTACATTCTCTGCTCCAAAGCAGTTTGAGTGTCCTGTGTAGGAAGGCTCAGAACCTTTCTGCTGAGTTGGCACTGGAAAGTGTCACTGGCTGAAACCCTGAGCCTTTGCCTGCTTTCCTGCCTCAACAATAAATAACATTTAAAACTGTCTTTGACATTGACACTGAATCTTTGTCACTGTCACCAAACCCAGGCTTGCTCCCTGTGGCATTTCAGTCCATAACAAAATAGCCTGAATTTTCCTGGATTGAAGAAATAGTGTTTCTAGAATAAAGAGGTCTCCGCTTTGTCTTGCTTTATGACATCCATCTCTTCTGTATAATTTTTCTGACTGGGTCCTAAATTGGGCAGCTTCTTTATTTATGTGAGCTATTAGCTTTGTATTCTATCTATGCTCTGAGGTTCTTGTGGGGGAAGGTGTTACACAATTTTATAATTCCAACAACCCTGTGAGGTAGGTTGCACTGAAAGTTGATCACTGACCCAAGATTCCATACCAAGCATCAAGTAGTTTGGTGTGTAATGGTCACAAATAAAATACCATCAGTGATTTGAAGTCCAATGTGTAATAGCAGTTGTTTCTGAAAAATTATCCCTATAAGGAAAAAATTTCCTAGGAAGACATCTATGATGATGTTTTGGTGTTTTTATTAAGACTTGAGTTTGTGTTTGTTTGCTGCTATATCTTTATTGACTTTTTTAATGAAGTGTGCTGTTGTTCCTTTTTATATCCTTTTATGTATATGCAATTTCATTTTTAAAAAACTTTGAAACAGATTAATGTTTCCCACCATTAACAAAGGGTAAAAGCAACAACTACATTCAAGCAAAAATAGAGGTAAAGAGAAGAGATGTCCTCGCAAGCCTTATGACTGAGCAGGGATTTGAATGACCCCTGTTCTCCCTCCATTAAGCAGCACCCCAATTATTACACTGCACTGCCCAAGCTCAGAAGAGGAATACTACCTGCAGACCCCCCCCCCCCCCGCGCCTAGTGTTACTTGGCCCCTCTAGAGGAGCTTCAAACATATTCTACATTAATTAGCAGAGGCTCATTATAACATAATTGACAACCCTATTTTTTTAAAGTCAAATTTCTTAATGCTCTCTTTCTGTATAACCCCTTTATTCTGGGTCCTCCTCATACTTACAGCTCCTGAGCCAGATCCTTGAAATAAATACCTAGATATGTAGGAAGGCTATGCATGCCTTAGGGTGAAATTCCATCTCTGTCCAGCTACACATCTCTACATGATCCATCCTCATTTATAGCTTTGGCACACTTTGATGGCATCTGCATATCAGCATTAGGTTCAGTCCCTTTCTCTCCCTTTATGTCTTGCTGCTGAATTTTAATTACCTAAGGGAGCAATCCTATGCATGTATAGGCAGAAAAAAGTTCTACAGCCATGCTATCTGGGGAATGCTGGGAATTGTAGGGCTTTTTTCTGTCTAAACCTATAGGATTGCATCCTACCTTATTTTACTAGGATTTCTATCTCCTTCCATCCCAAGGATTCTGAGTGTAGTGCAGGATTAAAAGTTCATATGAAAGTATGTTTAAAACAAAACATTTCTTAACCCTGGCTATGACCAAGAAAGATAATTAGAACTACCATGCAAAATGTTTGAAAGAAGTTTGAAGGTCAGTGAAGAGAAGATGCTACTGCCCAGTTGCTTGGCAAAAGCTCTGTCATTCAGAACAGAGGCAGAACTGCAGTGAAAGGCCTTTCCTCCTGCTCAGCATGGGACCCGGTGGTCACCTCGGAAGGAAGGCAGGCGCAACATTTGTAGGGACCATGGGAGCACATTCACTACTACGTTCAGTGGAAGCATCATGGTTCTTCAGCAGAAGCCTTCTGTAGATAGAACTGTTTGGTTAATTCCTATGGCATCACCCACTGCTCCTTCCATCTCCAATCCCTACCAATTTTTGCAGTTGTTTAAAAAATATTTCATGCATCAGTTGGTTGGCTTGCTTTTTTAAAAAAAATGTTGATCCTGGGCAAACTAGATGATTCATGAAATATATTCATGCAATCTGTTTTGTTTTGTAACTTAAATAGCAGGATTGGGATGTTTGTGCATGGAATTCAAAGATTTAATCTCCCTCCTCCCGCACATGCACACACTGCAAGTATGATGAAAATCCACCCACTGCTGCAAGTGGCCATTTCTGAGACTAATGGTGGCAGTGGGACAGGGAACAGCAGTGGCTGCTATTTAAACAAGACCAGAAAGAAAAACAAAGAAACATCGAGTGCATTCATGCTCTGTTTTTCAACCTGATGTACTCCATCAGCCTTGCGGAAGGGAGCCGTTACAGTGGGTAAAGAACCCACTATGACCTTTTTTTGTAAATATTGTCTGTCACTACCCTGAATCAGTGCTGCAAGACTGCCCTCCTCCTCCCTGCTTGTTCTTGACCTGGTTGGACTCATGATTCCAGATTCTAACACATGGGACAGTTGTAATTTAATTGGATAGGTCTAAGTGAGGGATAGCAGAAAGAGGGAGCAGGGTTAATTTGGAAGAGATCTTCTCAGTTGGTTGAAGAGAAGGGGAGGGGAGAAGCATATTAGCCATCTACAAATGGTAAACACATTAAGTTGGGTACATAGTTCTTGGAGCAGGTGATGGCTTCCTTCTTCTCCAGCCAAGACCTAGGACAGTTGAATGCTCTGTAGCTATGGACTTCTCCTAGCATATACGGGACTTGTGTGGGCGACTGCAGTCTTACTTAACCCTCTCCCCCCCAAAAAAAAAATCCAATGAGATTTGGATAGAAAGGTGCTGGGACCAAGAGCTGCTACACTGCTTTCTTATCTTTCCTTGTGCTTGGCTTCAGAAAGAGATCACAGAAATTGGCCTCTGCTACCAGCTTGGGTCTACCACTACCACCCACAGATTTTTGTATGCAGCACTTGTGCATTCAGATGAAGTAACTATGTTTACAAGAAATTAGGCCATTTGTCCATCTAGGCAGGTATTGCATAATCTGACTTGCAACACCTTGCTCGGGTCCCAGACCGAGCTCTTTCGCATCATCACTCTTTCATCCTGTTCAGGTGGAATCCTAGGAATAGAACAGGAATGCAACATGCATGTGTTCTACCACTGCACATGATCCCTAACCATATGGTCCACTGTGTGCAAAGTTCTTTCATTTGCGGAACTGACCATGGCTGCTGGATTAGCTGGAGGACCCAGAAGACAGTGTTAAATATAGAAGGGCATAAGGTTAAGTATCCTCAATGAGAAAAAAATAGTTTGTCCATGATTTCTGCGAATGGCAATTGAACACAACTTGGATGGAACAGGTTAGGGACAGCTTCTTGCTATCTAGCATTGTCTCCCATTTATAACTTTTAAACAACAACAGCTTGGAGATCATCAAATCTCTATAATTGCTTTATGTAAATGCAGATAATGGTGCAGGTATTGTCTGCACATATAACTGTGTGAAAGACAAAGTGCTATGGAGGGAGAGGCAAGCACCTTCCAGCTACTAAGTGGAACTCTTTATACATGGCCTATATAAATGTGCATGTAAAACTTACGGGAAGAAGGTTTACATTTTTGGAAATAACTTCAAACAAACAAGCCCCTTTGCTGCCTTTATTCAGAAATTCTTTTTGTGAGTGTAAAATTTATTGTGCAA